TTACTTTGTACTTGCTTTGCATATTGCATATATTGCTTGTTGTAATGTATTCAGCTTGACATGCCCGGACTTGCCCGGGCTGGCCAGGCACATTTCCTCAATAGCTTCAAGTCTAAAGACAATGGGTCCGTAGGATCCTAGCTGGCCCAATGAAAGGGCTAGGTCCCAAGCCAAGAGGCCAATGGGTCTCTCGGTTACTGTAAATAGCCTATCGGGAGTAGGGTGTGTGTTTAGGTGAGCTTGGTGGCGGGTTTTCTGAATGAATATAACCCGGCCTGCGAGCCGGTCAGTTGTCTTTGTTCTGAACTAAAGGTATGCTTAGCTGAAATCACTCTCTGTCTGCATACTTTTCACTGGCAACGAGGATGGGATCTACGACCCCATGAACAGAGACCCGGACGCCAACCCGAGCACCACATCGAGCTCCGATGCCGAGACCACAGGGAACCGCTCCGCTTCGGATCCCGGCTCTCCGGCTACTGCTCATCGCTCCGCTCCTGGCTCCGCTGTGCACCCTGCTGACCCCGAGAGCAGCAGCGCCCTCCTCAACGCTCCAGCTGCCGCCGCCATCCCAGAGCCAACCCAACCACGTGGCTGCGACACAATGGCGACTCCCCAGAGCAACATCGCCACTTTCGATATCTCCCGCCCCACCGAATGGGAGGCCTGGCTTGAGATAATGGAAAGCTATTTCAAATGCCAGAAAATCACGGACGACGGGATGAAGAAGGACCATTTCCTCCAGTTGTGTGGCATGAGTACCGTCCTACTCCTCAAGGACCTCATCGCTCCAAAAAAGACAACAGAGGAGCCCTACACAGCGCTGGTCCAGGCGCTGACGGATCACCTTGCACCGAAACCCACTAAATTCGCGGAGCAGATGGACTTCTGCGCGAGGGTACAAGGGCCAGACAAGTCCGCCTACGACTTCCTGGCGGGATTCTGGCAGGCTTTCCCGAGTCTATTGGACACCCTGCTGACCCAATTCCTGGTGGGCCTGCGAGAGCCCAAACTCCGGTGGAAACTGGTCAGCCAGAATGACCTTGACCTGGACAAGAAGGCCCACCGAGACCGCAGCGCCAAGGCGGTCCACCGCACGCAAGTGAGCAGCAGATCCGACGCCTCAGGCGAGGAGGAAGTCCTCCAGCTCCACCAGCGGACTTCGCAGAGACCCAAACACTCGTCCTCCAGGACCAGCAACGCCTCGACTCCAAACCTGTGCGCCAGCTGCGGAGAGGACCACGAGCGCATATTGTGCCATTTCCGGAACGCGGTCTGCTGCTCCTGCAACAAAGCCGGGCACATCGCAAAGGTCTGCCGATCCCGAGGACCATGCCCGAGATCTGCCATGCACCAGACCACCGCGGAACTGCCCTTCGAGCTCCACACCGTATCGTCCCACTTTCCGCAACACCAGGTCTGTAACTTGCTCCCCGACGGCCCTAACAAAATGCATGTGACGGTCCTCATAGAGGGAGCCCCCTGCACCATGGAGATCGACACCGGGTCGACCTACTCCATCATATCCGCGGATATGCTCCGCTCATTGTGTCCAAAAGTGGGGCCACCGCTACAGAAGTCACGGGGTTTCCGGCTACGGGACTTTAACAAGAACCCCGTGGCGGTGCTGGGCTGGGGCAAGTTCAGGGTCCAGTTCCAAAGCTTCAAGGGCCAACTGGACCTACTGGTGGTGGACCGGCCTCTCTCCAGTTTGCTTGGACTAGCGTGGTTCGAAGCCCTGGGACTCTCCGTGAAGGGCATCAACCAGGTCGGGACACACGATTTTGGGGCGGTGTGCGCAGAATTCCCTCGCGTCTTCGATGGAACCCTGGGGCGGTTCACGGGCCCTGCCATCTCCCTGGACCTCGACCCCGCGGTACGCCCCATCCGCATCAAAGCCCGGCTGCCCCCGATTGCCATGAAGCCGAAGGTGGGGGCTGAACTCGACCGCCTGGTAGCACAAGGAGTGCTTGAACCAGTAGCATCGGCCCGGTGGGAGACCCCCATAGTCACACCGGTCAAACCGAACGGGGAAGTCCGCATCTGCACGGATTACAAATGCATGATCAATAAAGCTTTACAGGCCCATGCGTACCCGGTGCCTGTGGTAAGCCACGTGCTAGCGGCCCTAGCAGGGGCCCAGGTGTTCAGCAAATTAGACATGTCCCAGGCGTACCAGCAACTGCTGGTGGACACCGCCACGGCCGAGGCACAAACCATTTCGACCCACAAGGGGGCGTTCAAAGTGCACCGCCTCCAGTTCGGGGTCTCAGTCGTGCCGGGGATCTTTCAATCTTTTATGGATTCCCTCCTTAAAGAGAAGAGAGAGAAGAGATTGGATTTATACCCCACCCTTCACTTTGAGTCTCAGAGCGGCTTACAAACGCCTTTCCCTTCCCCTCCCCACAACAGCCACCCTGTGAGGTGGGTGGGGTTGAGAGAGCTCTGACACAAACGGCTCTTTTTCAAGGACAGCTGTGCCAGAGCTTGTGACTGACCCAAGGTCACATCAGCAGGTGCAAGTGGAGGAGTGCGGAATCAAACCCGGTTCTCCCAGATTAGAGTCTCCCTCCCCGGAAAAGATGGAAGCCATCACTCACGCTCCAGCTCCGAAGTCCAAAACGGAGCTACAAGCGTTCCTGGGCCTGGTAAACTTCTACCACTCCTTCTTACCCCTAAAGGCGTCCGTGGCGGAACCTCTTCACCGCCTCCTCGACAAGTCAGCACCATGGGTCTGGGGGCCACTGCAGGCCGCGGCGTTCCAAGCAATAAAGGACCTCTTAGTATCCAATGTGGTCCTCGCTCACGCTGGCGGGCTAAGGAAACGGTTGCGCGCCCAGTACATGGGAACCAGGCAGAACATCAGACAAAACACAGGTGCAGTAGTCCTGGGAAAATCAATAGGCAAGCATTACAGCATCTTCTCCCCCACACAACCTCCAGCAGTTATCTTTTGCATTCCAAAGCAGGAACAGGATGATAGAAGCCAAGCCGGGTGTAACAGGGAAAGGATATGTACACAGAGGTCACAGAAAACAGAATGGCAGCTTGCTGACACCCTTTTTAGACGATGTGCTGATCGCCGCCCCAGACCCCTCGTCCTTTGCAGACCGACTGCGGGCCGTCTTGCAATGCTTCGACTCAGCGGGCCTCAAAGTCAAGCGAGAGAAGTGCCTGCTAGGGGTGCTGCGCGTTGAATTCCTGGGCTTCACTGTGGACGCATCCGGCCTGCATCCCTCCCAGGACAAGGTGGAAGCCATCACGCACGCCCCGGCCCCGAAGTTCAAAATGGAGATGCACGCGTTCCTGGGCCTAGTGAACTTCTACCACTCCTTTTTGCCCCGCAAGGTGGCTGTCGCGGAACCTCTCCACCGCCTCCTCGACAAATCGGCGCCATGGGTCTCGCGAGCACATGGCGGAACCTCTTCACCGCCTCCTCGACAAGTGCTCGCTCACTTCGACGAGGCCCTTCCCGTGGTTCTGGCGTGTGACGCTTCTCCCTATGGGGTCGGGGCGGTCCTGGGGCACAGGCTGCCAGACGGTCGCGAGGTCCTGGTCGCCTACTACTCACGAACTTTGTCTTCTGCCGAGCGCAACTACGCGCAAATCGACAAAGAGGCCTTGGCTATCGTGGTGGGGGTGAAAAAATTCCATCACTACTTGTATGGTCGCCCGTTCACGATCCTGACGGACCACAAGCCACTTCTGGGCCTCCTCGCACCCAACCGGCAAACCCCACTGATGACCTCACCCAAGGTGCTGCGCTGGTCTATTTTCCTGGCGGGGTATGCATACAACCTCGTCCATCGGCCCGGGAAGGCGATGGGCCATGCCGACACTCTGAGCCGCCTGCCCCTGCCCAAGTGTGACCCCGACCCAGCGCCCGCGCTCCTGGTCGCACACCTGGAAGCTCTCCCGGACCAGCCGGTCCACGTCAAGGAGGTGGCCCGCGGCACCTCCAAGGACAAGATTCTGGGGAGGGTCTTGGACTGGGTGGTGAGGGGGTGGCCCGAGGCCAAAGGTGACCTGGACATTGCACCCTTCGCTAACCGAAAAAATGAACTCTCGACCCACAAGGGTTGCTTGCTGTGGGGAAGCCGGGTGGTCATCCCCTCGCCCTTAAGGGAACTGGTCATCACCGTCCTGCACGAAGCACATCTGGGGGTGGTGCGTATGAAAGCCCTGGCCAGGAGTTACGTGTGGTGGCCGGGGCTAGACAAAGACATCGAGGACGTGGTCAAGAGATGCCAGCGATGCCAAGCCTCGCGACCAGAACCACCTCGAGCGCCAGAGAGGGCCTGGGAATCCTCGCACCGTCCCTGGTCCCGCCTCCACCTGGACTTCGCGGGGCCCTTCCAGGGCCAGCTTTTCTTCATCTTGGTGGATGCGTACAGCAAGTGGCTGGAAGTGGTTCCAGTGCCCTCCACATCTTCGCAGGCAGCGATCCGGGCCATGTGGAGGATATTCAGCGCACAAGGGATCCCCGACACGCTGGTCACAGACAATGGGACAGCATTCACCTCCGCCGAGTTCCAGGCCTTCACGAGGTACTACGGAATCCGCCATGTTCGATCCGCCCCGTTCCATCCCGCTACCAACGGCCAGGCTGAGCGCATGGTGCGCACCACGAAGGATGCGCTCCGCCGCCTGGACTCCTCCGATTGGGACTACAAACTGGTGGCCTTCCTCTTTGGCTAATGCACCACGCCCCACACCACTACAGGCCGCAGCCCTGCCGAACTACTTCTGGGCCGCCGCCTGGCCTCACGTATGGATCGGCTACACCCCGACCGCCCCCCCCGGAGGCCCCGGGCACAGAGATGTACGAGGCTGCCAGGGGGTTCTTCCTGGAGGATCCCGTGTACGCACGGAACTACGGCCGGGGCCCCACATGGATTCCAGCCCGAGTCATTCGGGTTAAAGGCCCTCATTCGTACGAGGTCTCCTGCAAGGATGGCCAGATCCTCCATCGGCACATCGATCAGCTGCGCCGCCGCACGCTACTGCTGGACCCAGAGGATCTGAATGGGGATGAGGACCCGGAGCCTTCTCCATCGGCCCCACTTCCGGAACCTGACCCACAGCCGCCATCCCGGACTGAACCTGAGAGCCCTCGGGTCGGGGTACCGGCCACCCCGGCTATACCAGACCCCTCGCCGGGCCTGGTACACTCGGCTCCAAGAGCCCCCGAGGCAGAAACGATAGCCACCCCAGAACCTCGCTGCTCGACCCGCCCCAGGAAGCCACCAGCGCACCTGAAGGACTTCGTCTGCGGGTGCATTGCGATCCAAGGGGGGAGGGGTGTAATGTATTCAGCCTGACATGCCCGGACTTGCCCGGGCTGGCCAGGCACATTTCCTCAATAGCTTCAAGTCTAAAGACAATGGGTCCGTAGGATCCTAGCTGGCCCAATGAAAGGGCTAGTCGGTCAGTTGTCTTTGTTCTGCATACTTTTCACTTGTAGATAACGAATGGTGCCACCCTAAGCAGAGTTCAACCCATCTAAGTGCATTGAAGTAAATAAGCTTAGAACAGTGTAGTTCTGCTTAGGGCTCCAGTGAAAGGCATTTATACTTTAAAAGTCCATGAATATGCCAAACAGTACACTGTATATGCTATACGCTGACATATTTTATGTTGGTAAAGAAATAAAATAATGTAAAGTTGATAAGGAAGAAAACATTGCTTAGATCGCTCCCTTTTTGGCATGGGTTTAAAATTTCCCAAAATTTTACTCCTTGATCCACAATGTTTGCCAAGACAAAAATGTCTCTGTTTTCTAGGCGACGTTTCCTATGGTTTTGGCTAGCTCTTGGCCAAACTTAACTTTACCAAAGCCAGAATGCTCTCTGAGGTTTTTATCTCTAGGGAATAATAGAGATGGGCTGGCAAAGGGAATACGAGACTCTGACGGTCCACTCAGCATGACTGAATCTGAGCCCTCTCAGACAATGGTTGGTTTATCAAGGCAGGAGATAAGGTGTGCAGAGTCCTGGAACACTGGCTGCGGTCACATACATTAAATAATCCACTTTCAGTCCACTTTCCATACAGAATTTGCCAGTTCCCACAGGCCTATTGTGTTGTAGGTTTTGTCCTCATCAAGCAATCAAAGTCTCGTGAGAAACCAGTAACAAAGACACAGTCTCCATAGTTTTAATTGAAGCGACTTGAGCAGTTTATTGAAAGAGAGTACAAAACTACAAGTAAGCAGAGGAAGAACTTTGGAGAGGAACAGAAGTACATGATTACATGATATGCAATTGATTCAGACCTACAGTTCTCTTTTTATCTCCCTAAATGCCAGCCTGCCCATTCTAATCTAAAGCCAAGTTACAAAATCATTCTAAGCCTATAAAGCATAGACACCCATAGGCCCCGGTCACACGGGCCGGATATTGCGGGGGGGAGGCATGGCTGTTTGCCCTGGAGAGAACTACCGCGCGGCAGCCGGATCAAACATCCCGCCCGATGTCCTGCCAACGTCTTGTGGTTGGGGGGAGGGGCCGATCATACTTCACTCCTGCGGCGCGGCAAAGAAGCGGCACTGCGGGGGTTGTGTGTGTGTTTTTTTTAACCCAAGTGTTCGCATGCACAGTTGGGTACTTGTGCGCACCCAAGGAGACTTGACCAAAAAACCCACTTTTTGCGATGAGACATGGGCGGGCGCCAGATGCCATGAGCTAACACCGGAAACGTGATCTGATGCCCGCCCTTGCCCCGCGGTTTCCGGAAACTAGTACCTCGGAGGTACTAGTTTTTTACCGTGCATCTTCGGAGTGAAGCCTCGGGTGAGCCACAGGAGCTCTACGCTTCCCAGATGTGGCGGTGAGATCGCACCCGGAAAATCTGCCTATCTTCCGTCTCTCTAGCGTGCCTAATGCTCCATGTGACTGGGGCCAATGTTATCTATTCAGGGGCCTCAGTTAAGGTAGCCAACTTCAGCCTGGGAAATTCCTGGAGATTTTCTGGAGGAGTCTGGGGAAGGAAGAATTTGAGAGAGGGGAGGATACTCAGTAGGAATGTGATGCCATAGACTTTATTAGGGTTGCCAGCCTCCAGGTGGGGCCTGGAGATCTCCCACTTTTACAACTGATCTCCAGGTGACAGAGATCAGCTTCTGTGGAGAAAATGGCTGCTTTGAAGGGTGGACTCTATGGTACTGTACCATGCTGAGGGCCCTCCCCTCCCCAAACCCCACCCTCTCCTGGATCCCAAAGTCTCCAGTTTTTTTCCAATCCAGAGCTGGCAACCCTAGACTGTATCCGCCAAAGCTGCCATTTGCTTATGGGGAACCAATCTCCGTAATCTGGAGATCTCCAGACTGCATTCTGGGAGATCTCCATGCCATACATGATGGTTGGCAACTATAGGCCTGTTGGCATATTGTATATTGTAGCTAAAAAAATCTAATTTCTCACCACAATCATTTGCTCCTGAGGAAATCCACTGACCCAACTCAATGGAGTCTGCACAGAGAATTTCTCAATGGATCATTCCCCAAGAGTAGTTCAGAAGCCTTCTTGAAGAAGAGACTGTCCTCTCTCTAAGATAATTTGTTAGGTATTAAGATGGTACTTTCCTCAAATGGCATTTGAAGTGATGTATCATCCTGACCCATGCCTGTTTCAGTTTGGGATTAATTAATATCAGGATAATTGCATGTCCGGAGGGGTACACAGCACTCACATTAAAGAGCAGAATTGTCCAAGTGTGTTTGTTCCAGGCCAGTACTGGTTGTGAAATGATTGCTGTAAGACTGATGAGGTACAGAACTGCAAAGGAAGCCAGAGCTTTGATGGCTCTCAAGTGCGCTTGTGTGTTGAAATCCCCGGTGCCAGTTCCATTGCGTTGCACACATCTCATGTGCTTCCACAGAGAACTTACTAAGAAGATGGTTGATGATAGAAATACCATAAAGGGAATAAAATCAAAGACGGCAGTTAGAGCAGTGAGATGCGTACACACGGGTGACATGTTCATTTCTGCATTGCTCCTGTTGATTGAAAGTAATTTGTAGGGATTGCAGGTAAAGAAGCCATAGTTCCAGCTCATGGTAACAATCATAGTCCTGACAACAGAAAAGACCACTGAGCCCAGAAGCAGCCAAGGCACCAGCCAAGGCAATCCTCGCTTGATTTGGAGGAAAAGTGGGTGGGAGAAGACGGCGATCTTTGCTAAGTAGAAAACACTGAGGCAGGCAGCAAACCAAAGGTTCACAACATTTGAAAATATCCATATGCCCATCAGCGTAAATGGTACGTTGCTTGGTGTATTGTTAAATAGAGTTGCACCCAGAATCACTACTGCCTGCAGCAAAAGTCTGGATGAGCCCAGACAGACAAGGATCAGGTCTGTCGGGGACAGTTTCCTGTTTCTGAACCAGTCAATAAAATTAATGATGATAATAGATCCATTTGCCACTATTCCGATGAGGGCTTCTATAACCAGAAATACAACACTGACTTTTGTTAATAAGGTAGCCATCTTTCTGAGCACCAGAGGAAAGTGTGTCTTCTGCGGTGATGTTCAAACTTTTCCCAGTGCTGTCCCTTCAGTGATATAAGCACCACAGAGTACAACACTTTAGTCTTCTGTTTAGGAATAGAAAAAACATCTGCAGAGGTTGGAGCTATTTTCAAGTGTTGATCATATTGAGATGCAAATGTTACCAGGAAGGATGTGATCACTAACACAATGATCCTGAGGTGAGTTATACCTGTCTAATCCCACTGTGTTTAATGGATTTGATGGAAATAACTCTGTTTAGGATTGCTCTGTAAATCTATATCATCTTCTAAAATGTCATGTTTGCATATTCTGCAGTGATGCTAAATACAATCTTTGCATTTGTCCTCAGATATGATGATGTGGTATTCTTGAGGGATTTGTTGACACCGGAGGCTTTGATCTGTGATAGGGATGTATTGGGGGTGCAGCAAGCGGGCGCGATCACACCGCAACATCTGGGAAGCGGTGCGCACCCGTCCCCGATCCGTGTCTTCCGGCTGAAGATGCGGATTAAAATTCCCCAATCCTCCACTTGCACCTCTGACAGAACTATGGCTTGCCCAAGGTAATCCAGCAGCTGTGAGTGGAAGAGTGGGGAATCAAACCCGGTTCTCCCAGATTAGAGTCTGTGCACTTAACCACTACACCAAACTGGACAGAGGATCATGTGTTTATAATATTCCTTTTTATTCCTTGCTCAGTCCGTTGCTGTGCAGAAAATATGAGTGTGGACTTTTTACTTTTATCAAATTCTTCACAATTTTAAAGTCTGGTCATTGTTCTTCATACTACTTAGAGCTCCATCATTCAAACTATATGAAATAGTCACCAGAGGAAGGGAGGCAGTCAGCTGCTAAATTGCTATTTTCCTGGGAGTGGGAAAGTATAGCGAATTTTCCCATGGTAACCAGACCTCCAGTAGTGAGGCATACAGGCATTAGCTTGAGTGTTAGAATTGCAAGATGGAAGGGAAACTGGGAGTACTGACTCTCTTGGTAGGTCGTTTCTAAAACAGCCAGTTGGTGACAGCATACCAAGGAATGAGTGAGAGAACTACCCCTCCAAGAGTCAGATGAACGGAGAGAGTGACACATCACTGGGTGGAGACTTGGGACTGTTGCTGGGCACCTCAGTTTGCTGAACAGAGTGGCAGTCATGAATCATTGGGGCCATTGTGCCACACAGAATGACAATGAATTATAATGAATTACATCAAATTGTCCTCACTATTCATATGGCTAAATTCACTACTTTAACAATGTTTGGTAGCATTCCAGTTATGTTAAAATGAATTATAAGTGAACTGTAGGTTTTCTGCACAACTTTGGCCCCGGTCACACGGAAGATTTTGGCCCGGGAGAGGGACGGATCGGGGGCGCAACAAATGGGCGCAATCTCACCACAACACCTGGGAAGCGGCGCGCACCTGTCCCCGATCCGTCCCTAAACCTGGAAAAGCCACTGCTAAAAAGAACCTCCTACAGAGGAGGACTTACCTGAAGCACCACAGCAAGCGTGGCCATGGGATCGCCGCCGCGCCCGTCGTCTGGAGCAATCCAGGCTCCCAGTCGAACTGCGCACGTGCACACATGCGCAGTTCAGCAGCCTTGCTCTCCCTTCAGTAGCTTCCCCCCTGGCATCTGATCGTGCCAGAGAGAAACTACCGCCACGGCGCTTTAGGGGATCTATGTGTCCCCGCCGCCGCGTGTTTCTTTTGGTGAGGCTTTAAAAAGCCGCACTTTGGCCGTACTCCCCCCCCCCTCCATGTGGCAGGGGCCTTTTTTTTATTATTCTTTAAGCAACAGGAGGATCCCAGGGCACAATTCTGGCTGTGAGATCTTTGTCATAATATATTCACATTGCTTGTATTTTGTGTATGCAAAACTAAAAGGATTATCCAAAATGCAAAACCCAGAAATCGCTAATAACTGAACTAGCCCTTCATTTTCTGTAGCTGTATGGAATTTGAGTTTGTAGCATCTGTAGATTGAATTTTCAAAGAGCCACATAAAATCTGTAATTTTAGCAAAAGGAGATTTATTAAATCTTATCTACTTGTTTATTAAATTAATCTCATCACATTTTATCCACTAGGTCTTTGAAGATGCTATAAAGCGAAGAAAACTTTTTAGTGTAATAATTAGCCACAACAGACTTAAGTGATTCTAGTTTGTTTTTTTCTTCCAAAAAAGGATGTGTCCATAAACAATATCACTCACTTTCTGTAACAAGTCCCTCTGGGGTTACTCATTATTGTTAATTGTGCTGCACTGTGTAATGGTTGGAAATGCTGGCTCCCTAATTGAATCCTTTGTGGCTTGTTACAAAAGCACACTAGGACTTCTCCTCAGGAGGCCCGTGCTGGTGTTAATGAGTATGGCTGAACATCAGAAAACACTAACAAACAAAGAAGAGTCAACTTTTCGGTTCCATTTGTTTGCCTGAGTGTTATGGATTGCTGCCAATCAATAGACTTTTCTTTAAATCTGCATCATGCCATCATCAGTCATGTTCTCATGCAGCCATTCTGAAGCACTATTCTCATCCCTCATTCAAGCAGGGTGATGCTTTCTTTGGCACCTCTTTATTACAAGTAAATAAATGGCTGAATTCACTGCCAGTGGATGTAGTGATGAACAGTAGCACAGATGGCTTGAGAAGGGGATGAGGAAGATTCATGGAGTCCATCAATGACTACCAGCCATGGTAACAAAAGGGAACCTCGGTATTCAGAGGTAGTAAGCCTCTGAACGCCAGTACTCGGAGGCAACATCAGGACAAGGCCTTAGCCTCTTTACCATCTTTGTTCTCCAGGGCTGCTATGAGACCAGATACTAAACTAGGTAATTCACTGGTATGATCCACCAAGGCACCTCATATTGTTATCCTCTTATAACTCTATGTTCTTATAGATCCAAGTGTATTACAGTCTCTGCTGTAACAATCATGGCAGACACTTTAATCCATTGAATTTCTCTTTTAATAAACATGAATATTTTTTTTCTTTAAATATATACATTATATATCTATGCGCACATAAAATCACAAAAAAGAGATCCAAATAGTTTAAAACCACAAAGTAGCTGTTAACATTGTATAAATTTTTTAGTTTTTCTGCCTCATAATCCTACAGCCTCCTCATAGCTAGTGTCTTTTCATCGGGGACAGATACAAATTCATGTTGACTCCAGATCCATTTTTACAATTCCCATGTGCAACTCCAGATACTGAAATCTTCTTGCAGAAATGTCCTCAAATCATGCTATGAAATAATTTAAAGATTAATATTGGAAAAAAAGGTAGACAGCTGATAGATTAAAAAAAAAAAAATTAGCCTAAGCATGGCTTTGTCAGCTGCCCTGAGCCTGTTTCCAGGGAGGGCAGGGTACAAATTGAATAAATAAATAAATAAATAATAAAACATGGCATATAAAATTAATGGAGAAGTTAACAGAAACAATCAGAAACAGTAAAATGAGATGACAATATCTTAGGCTAATTTTGAAAAAATCTATCCGCTAATTGTCAACCTTCTTTTATAATATTAATCTTTAAATCATTTAAATTGTCAGCTAACACCGCCATTGTGTTGGAATGTGGGAGGGGGTGCTTGGCATCTGTGTTACTCCTTCCCCCTAGGCACCCTCCTCCACCCCCGCGTCTCCGTTGCCTTTGCTATCTGCCTAGTGGCCTTGAAGGCTTGGCAGTCCCTGGTCCGCTTTCCTGCTGGGAACCTAACTGCTGCTTTTTGCCCACGCTTCTAGAGGCTTGCTTATTGGGTTTGGGATATCAGGGGGCCTGGTTTGAAGGGCATATACCTGTAACCACCATTTTACTTTTCATTATTCCTGACTCAGAGCTCATGGTACCACCAGTACTAACCTCAATAAACTGGACTTTATCAAGGAACGTTGTTGAGTGTTTGATTGGGAGGCCTGACAATGATTTGGGGACATTTTTGCCAGAAGAGTTCAGTATCTTATGACCTCTTCATATTCAAATGTATGATAGTAAATCAATTACAGGCTTGAGTGGATCAGATGGATTATTTGGACCCATTTCAATCTAGTTTCTGGAGTCGTGTTCATACTGAAACTACTTCAGATACCCCGCTGGAGGATCTTTACTTTTCAGTTCTATTGAACATGATATGCTTTGGTAGTAGCTGGCTGAGATGGATGTCATGGGTGCAAAGCCCTCGTAGTGACATTCCAATCTGGCTGATCAGTGCAAGCAAGCAGGGCTGACTCAGTACTATCCTTTTACTCAGTGGCATTTGTTTTATGGGGGGTTTACTTTATAGGGCTCTACCCAAGTTGTTTAACATCTGTATTTAACTGCTGGGTGAAATCATCTGATACTTAACTCTAGTTCTCTTTTCCATCAGTCTTTGGATTTTCCCTTTACTGTGTAGATGTCATTGTCTTTAGGTATTCCTGATGTTGTCTTCTGGCAATTTATGTAACATGTTAATGGTTGAATCCTGTGGATGATTTGTTTGTGTCCAAAAGCCCTTGTGTAAGTAGAAGTGCTAAAATTACTCCTCCCTGTCTACTGCCAATAAGTGAAAGTGATTGTGTTCCCCACCATCTTTTCCACATGCACAAAACATAGCACAAGGTTTTTCTTCTGACACAATTTCCAAAACACATTAAATGAAATAATGTAAACTATATATTGCACATTCAATTGTGCCATGTACAGAATGCTATTTCATTCAAATTTATATTATAAGTGTTGTGTGTGGGTGGAGCTGTTGAGCTACTCTAAGTACCTTTTCCTTCCCACTCACACATATCTCAATCCATCCTTCTGAAATAAACTGCATATATAATAACTATTTTAAAAGATTTTATGTAATGTATTTTGTTTTTGCTTTGTTGTTTATATAGCTATTTATTGTTTCATATTGCGTGGAAATCACCTTGAAACAATTGTACTGGAAAAGTACTGTATAGATTTTTAAATAAATATTAGTAAATTCTCCAGAATCTTTCAAGACATCCATAATAAACTGCCATTCTAATTTATCAAATGCTTTTTTCTGCATTTTATCTTTATAGTTCTCTGATATTTTAAAAGACAGTTTGTCTGCCTACCTGTCTCTCTATTATCATATATATAACTACATTCAATTTCCAAGAATGATTTTCTCTATCCGTTAGAATTTCTTTCTTTATTTCTGTCCATTAGATTGAGCAATTACCATTGCTACTAGGAACACATATAATTTATTCTAAGAAAGACCTGGATAGCACAGGATAGTCCAATCTCTTCAGATCTCAGAAGCTAAGGAGGATTGACCATGGTTAGTATTTGAATGAGACATTACCAAGGAAGTCCTGGATGACTATTCAGAGGCGATGGCCAACCACCTCTGAATGTCTCTTTTGAAAACCCTATGGGGTTGGCTGTGACTTGACAGCATTGTCCGCCACCAAGAAAGAGCCTCTGCTTTGTTGAAGAATCCTAGGGGAAGTTTCATAGCAATCATAGTCCAACACCACACTCTTTACAATTTTGTAAAATAACTAGGTTAAGCTGAGAGAAGGTGACTGGCTCAAGGTCACCCGGCAAGCTTCCACAGCAGAGTGGAGATCTGAAACTGGCTTTCCCAGATCCTAGTGTGATACCTTTATCCTTACACCATGCAGGCTGTAGTGGTTAGAATCTTCTTCATAATCAGAGCTGGAGATGGATGATGGAAGAGAGTTCAGACTCTGAATGATATGTGAGAAGGATCCCTCTCCAGCAGACTCTTTTCAGATATTTTTTCCTAGCTATTTGTATTATTATTTGCCCCTTTACCAAAAGCCTAGAACATCTTTCTTCTGTTCTTCTTATACAGTCACCCAGAAGCAAAGTCTTTGCAGGGTCTTACCTCTATTCTCCTGCCTATCATTTAGGAGGACTATAATAAGCCACAGAACATCTGCTAGAAGACTGTCATTGGAACTCTCTGAATTAACAGCACAAACCCGGAACCTCATTTTATGTTCCATGAGTGAGTTTTCACCTCTGTGCTATTTTCAAGAATGCCCCTTTTACATCCTTATTCTTTAGACTGTATATCATGGGGTTGAACATAGGAGTGATGACACTATAAAACAAGGAGACCATTTTGTCATGTTCTGGTGAGTGGCTTGACCCAGGTCTCATGTACATGAACATAGCACTGCCATAGAACATGGCCACCACAATTATATGGGAGGTGCATGTAGAGAAAGCTTTGCGTTTGCCCTGGGAAGATTGGATCTTCAAGATGGCTGCTAGGATGCGGGCATAGGTGGTCAGGATGAATGAGAAGGGGCACAGGAGGATGAGGACCCCAACCACAAACACAATGATTTCATTGAGGTGTGTATCCGCACAGACCAGTTTTAATAGAGCCAGGATATCACAATAGAAGTGGTTAATCACATTGGGGCCACAATAAGGCATCTTCAACGTCTGGACTGTATGGACCATGGCAAGAAGAAACCCTGAAATCCAAGCTGATGCTGCTAAAAGGACACAAACTCTGCGGTTCATAATGACTGTGTAGCGTAGAGGGTGACATATTGCTATGAACCTATCATATGCCATTACTGCCAGAAGGACACATTCGGTGATGCCCAAGGCCAGGAAAAGGTAGATCTGAGCCCCACAACCAGCAAATGAGATGGTCTTCCTTGGGTTCCAGAGGTTGGCCAGCATCTGAGGGACCGTGCTGGTGGTGTACCAGATGTCCACAAAGGAGAGGTGGCTCAAGAAGAAATACATGGGCGTATGGAGTTGAGTGTCCAGCCAGATGAGTGTCAGGATGGTCAGGTTGCCTGCTAGAGTGATGCTGTAGATTACAGTGAAGATCCCAAAGAGGATTAAATGCATCTTGGGGCTACTGGAAAGACCCAGCAGGAGAAATTCTGTCACCATGGTTTGATTCCTCATCTCTTTTTGCTGCTGTTGTTGAATGTAGGGAAGAATAGACACCAGGTAAAATATGTTGGCCTTCAATGTGAGCTTTTTTCAGTTATTATTTTGGTGCCCCTACCTTGCATGCTGCCTTGACCTGGATAGCCCAGCCTAGCCTGATCTTGTCAGAGCTTAGAAGTTAAGCTGTGTCAGCCCTGGTTAGTAGAATCATAGTATCATAGAGTTGGAAGGGGCCATACAGGCCATCTAGTTCATCCCCCTGCGCAATGCAGCCGCTGCTTGAAGACTGCCAGTGAGGGGGAGCTCACCACCTCCCTAGGCAGCTGATTCCACTGTTGCACAACTCTTACTGTAAAAAAGTTTTTCCTAGTATCCAACCAGTACTTTCCCACCCTTTATTTAAACCCATTATTGCAAGTCCTCGCCTCTGTTGCCAACAGGAACAGCTCCCTGCCCTCCTCTAAGTGACAGCTCTTCAAATACTTAAAGAGAGCTATCATGTCTCCCCTCAACCTCTTCTTCTCCAGACTAAACATTCCCAAGTCCCTCAGCCTTTCCTCCTAGAGTTTGGTCTCCAGGCCCACGATCATCCTCGTACTTGAATGGGAACAAAGACTGGGGTTTGCTATGCAGAGGAAGACAATGGTAAAACACCTCCATACATCTCTTGCCTTGAAAACCCCATAGGATCACCATAACTTGGCTGTGACTTGATGTCAAAAAACCCAACAACTTGCATACTAGGAGAGTGCACCACATACGATCCTCTTGATATGTACAGCTGCTGTTTTGTGTGAATTGATTGATGTATAGTATGCATAATAGGAAACCCAGATGGTTAAGTATGTTTGTGCATACTGAAGCTGGAAAATACATGTCTTGCCATATTCACACAAAAAGTCATCCATGTATATTGAGAGGATCATGTATAGCATGCTTTTCCAGTACATGGAGCAGGAGCACCATAATCTTAATGTACTCATCATTTTGCAGAGGAGCAAGACATCCTAGTCCAGCATGACCTGGGTTAGTTCCCTTTGGAGACTTAGGACATTTTTGTAATATTTGCTTTGCCAAGGCAGCAAATCAGCCACCTCACATCAGATTGTCAGAGAGAGAGAGAGAGAGACTAATTCTGCCCAGTTGTTATGATTCTGGTGGTCCAACATCACGTAATAAGAGAGCACACTGCCAACAATCCTCCCAATGCATGTGGTTGCACAAATTTTCTGGCTTCAGTATGCATAAATATGTACCCTCAATAATCTGAATTTCTGATGCTGTGAATTTCTGATGGTGTGAACCATGGAATGATGGAAATTACACATCTTGCCCTATTTAGACAAAACAGCAACGGTTGGCACATATTGAGAGGATCACATGTAGTGCTCTCTCCACTTATTGCCATAACTATAACAACCTAATTGGACTAGAGAGTGAGGAAAATATCCTGTACTCTAAGGTGCTTTATTTGAATCACAGCTCTCTTTATACACACATACATACACTCCTACATCCTCTCCTTCTCTGGGTGGGTTCATCTTCTCCAAGCTGTCCAGGAGTAATCAGGGGACCACCTACTAACAATTGATAACCACCGAGGAGCATGAACATTATTTGGTCCTAGACCCTGGTTTCTACCTGGTATGTTTCTTTTTACTATAATGACAGGTCAATTAGTGCTTATTAGTTTTAAAAGGAAGAGCCTTTTATGCACACATGAACATATTCTAAAAATTATATCCTCCCTCTTATATCACTTTTAACACCCTGTAAAATATGTCAATTATTCATTTATGAAAAATAAAAGGTGGTGAACTCTGCTTTATACTGAGAGCAATACTGAAATATAAACAAGAACAGGACAACGGAGATTTAGTACATGCATACAATTCCAACTATTCACAAAATAAACTAAAACAAAGGTGAACTTTAGCGTTCCATGAACCTACCTGCCCCGCTTACCAATGCTTGGAAGAAATGGATGAATTTTTCACACTCATTGGAATGCTTCTTCTTCAGGCCTCCAATAAGACCTTAACTAACATTTTTACTCCAAATCAAGGTGGCAATGCTGAGCAGTGGTGCAGTTAGGCAATTTGGGACTCTGAACGTCCTCCCCCCCCCCACACACACACATGGAACTATGATGTGCTTCTGAGCCCACCTGCTGAGTCTCTGAGTCAGGGCTTCAGATTTCTACCCCAGAGCTGACAACACCATTATTCTGGAGCAAGAAGAGCATTTTAGCAACATCTCAAATATATATATTTCTATTTCACACTCTGGACCCATCCAAGAGGGAACTGAACACCCAAGCTGCAGAAAAGATAATGATTAAGAGAGGTAGTCTACAGAGATAGTCTTGGATGCAAATCTTAAAAAGTTTTTCTCCTAATTATCTTTGAAGTAAACATTCTGCAACTTTAAAAGGGTCTCTGGGACCTCGTCTCAAAGTCAAGGAATCTTCAGGTATCCTTGGAACAGAGTTGCTACGATTTTGTTTTTTCACCATTTGAGGGAAATGGGAGGTATCTTCTCGTGTCTCAGAAATGTAGAGAAAGGAAAAAGATTTTCTAACGCCCCCTTCTCTGGACATAACATTGGCCCATAATGGCTAACAGACATATAGCACAAATATTTACCAAGGAGGAAAACTGAAATTAGTTCCTTGTTTTGGGAGGTCAGATGAGTCCTTGAAAACTGAGGAAGGGGACAGTAGAGGAAGCTGTTCAGACACTCATCACACAGTAGAACTGTGGCTGAGTGGTACTAATGTTGGCGATTGAATGTGGAAGGATGCATGTTTGAATGACCCACTGGTACTCTTTATGGAGGTAATGTCTATTTTGTTAACAAACAAAAATGCAAAATACCCTCTGGGATTTCAAGCAGAAGGTTTCTTCCCCCAGGACCCTTAGGTTCTCATTACATCAGTCATGTGACACAAGTCAAGTCATTGATCCCCTGAACTGACTTGCAATGATGGGGGAGGAGCTTCAGCCTTCACTCCCATGCCATTTTTTTTGGTAAATAAAAGCAGTCATGGGGGCCCCCGTCATGTGATCCAGTCCAATCCCAGGATACATGGATCCCAACAATGGGCCAAACAGTCCCTCATGGTGGTTTTGCTCCACCGAACTGTAGCAGTAGTCTTTTTTTCTAGATATTCAATCTCATGAGTAAGATAATCTTTGCAGTCTAGAAGGCTAGAACCCCTCCCCCTCACCGTGCCACTTTCAGAGCATGATAACCCCCCCGTAGTGCTATTCAAGGTGAGTCCCTGCTGACCTGACTTGTGTCATATCTTGTGGAATGATGACTTTACTTGTGAACTGAAGGCCCTGCTTGCATTTACCTGGAGCCTCCTGCATGCAAAACGAATGCTCTACCACAAAGCTACAGTTCCTCACTCCAAAACTTTGCTACCTAGCCTGATCCTATGTATACATAAAACTGCCTCATCCTGACCCGGGCTGTGGATATACCTATCCTCCATATTATTATTCCAAGAGACATCTGCTCTCTAATACTTCAGTCCCAAGTCTTTCTAAGCCTTGATCCTTTGAACTAGAAAATTAGGAACAGACCGCTTAAATTTCTGGCTATGAGGCTGCTGCTGAAGGCACAGAACCCCTGTTAGGAGAAAAGAAGACAAGCCTTGGTCAGAGGCTACATGAAAATGTGTAGGATTGTTGAAACAGGTGACCACCACTACGGATTGCTTTACAAAGGTCCTGTGGCAGAATAGTCCTGCTCCAACCTGCAGGCCCTGTTCCACCCTGCTCTCCAAGGCTTTTCTCTGATAACCCACTGCCACCACCTGACCTCTGTAGGAATTGCCTGCTGGAAGGGTCAGAACTCCCAGCTTCCCTTCCAAGTTCTGAGGCCTTTCCTCTGTGCCTCCCGTTGCCCAGCACCTGGGCACCACCAATGTTCCCTCTAAGATCAGGCCATACCATACCATACAATGCCCCCATATATACAAACTTAAGTATGTGTGTGTGTGTGTGTGTATAACCTTTAAAAGCAGTGCTCAAACTTAACAGCAAACAATTCCATAGCTGTGGTAGTCTGTGGTACACAGGAGTCAAGAAGTACCTCAAAGACTAACAAGATTTATTTCAGTATAAGCTTTAATGGGCCAAAGCTCACTTCTTTAGGTGCATGAAGTGGCCATTGGGCCTGATTTAATAGATGGGGGGGTTTACAAAGAGGCCAGGTAAAAACAAGATCCAGACAAAGGAATTATCAGGCAGAATGGGTGAGAAACACTCATGAGTAACAACAGCAAACTGGAATACAGAACAATTCCAATGCAGGATGAAATGAAATAGTTGAACCAATTAGCCTCTGTGATGGTGAGCTATGTGAGATGTTAGGTCCTATAGTGAGTTAGGAATCCATGGTTCCTGTAAAGTCTGGGGGGGGGATACAGTGTTTTGAATAGGTTCAAAAACTCTAATGCAGCACTTTTGTGCTGGGAGAAGAGTTGGTTTTATATCCCGCTCTTCACTACCTGGAGTCTCAGAGCAGCTTACAATGGCTTTCCCTTCCTCTCCCCACAACAGACACCCTGTGAGGTACGTGGGGCCAAGAGAGTTCTGAGAGAACTATGACTGACCCAAGGTCACCCAGCTGGCTGCATGTGGAGGAGTGGGGAATCAAACCCAGTTCTCCAGATTAGAGTCTGCTACTCTGAACCACTACACCAAGCTGGAGACTATTTGTGACGTTCTTTTAAGTTCTTAAGTAGAACTTTACTTTCAAGTCAATCAAATGCTTTTTCTACATCAAGGAACCCAAATGTAGTACAAAATAATATTTTCCCCTAGAATGAAGCTAAACTGCTCGAAATAATGTTCTGTTTTTTAGCCTTACCAACTGTACAATAGCCAATGCTTTATAATCATAATTATCAGATCAAAGGTTTTTATCCTTTCCAGATTTTGCTATTAAAACAATCCATTCCAAGAAACTTGGACCTCCTAACTGAGTAAATTTCATTCATAAGGATGGCCCGGGAGTTCATAGTGCAACCTCTAAAACATTTGTAGAACTCAGCCATAAATCCATTGGGATCAGGTGCTTTGTTCTTATGTAACAGTATAATGGGGGTGATCCAGCCCCTATTCTACCACTCCACCAAGTGTGGAGCCATTCTCCAGCCTTAGCTTCTCTCCAATTTACATTGGCAGAAGAGTCACTTAAGTTGGAAGAATTCTTTTTAGGCTGAAGGAAGGCTCCTTGGAGGATGATTGGATCCAGCCCCAAAGATGTCGTCACTTCTTCTTCCAAAACTGACTTCTTATCTTCTTTTATTTATTTATTTCTTATTTATTTCTTCATGATTTACCAGTTATCTCTTTATCTGAATTTTGAGTTGTATATAAATTCTTACAAAAGCTAGAGAACTCTTGTATAATGTGTTCACTAAGAAAAACTATGGTTTCATTCTTATTCATTATAGATGAGATTTGTTAAACTGTGATGGAATGACAAAAGGACTGTGACTTTATATGAGAAAGGGACAAAAACCAAAGAAAGCCACAGCTTCTCAAGACAAATGGAGAAAAGAGGAATGTGGAATACTGAATTTGAAACTTTACTACAATGTTTCTAGGGTCCTGTGAATACCTGATGGGAGAATGGTTTCTACTTTATTCTTAAAGGTTTTAAATGTTGATTGACTTCTTGCTCCAGATATCTTTCTCACAAATTATGTGGTCGATATTCCTGAGAGATATCATTAATTGGAACTGAATATGTTTGTTACTGCCCAGCTGGTTTTTAGAAATCACAGTTTTCTTTCAAAAAAGCAAGAATCTATTAACAAAATACAGATATGCTAAGATTGTTTAAAAGCATATCAAATAGTATAAAAAATTAGCAAGATTTCATCCTGATCAAGCTTTCTATTTCTCCTGACACATTTTCTTAAAAGATGTTTGTTAGTGACTTGAATCCACTCTGATAATTTTTTGACTGAAAAAGAAATGATAAAGAAGTGTGATAATTATATGATTTATTAAAGTATTGTTGGCTTTATTTTCTATAATTTCATGTATCATTTTATATTCAATATTTTTAATTTTTTTAAATATGAAAAGGTTTTCACTCAATTAATGAAATGAGATAATTTTCTAGCAATTCACAAATATAGTTCTGAGCCAGCGGTTTGTGTGATGAGTGTCACATATACAGTAGGATTTCTGATTCCTCTTTTTCCATCAACAGCCATCTGAGTTATGCTTAAAAGCTTCATAAAGCTTCCATTGTGGTCTCTAACATCAAGAAAGAAGTTGGCCTTAGAGGGGAAAGACAATGAGAAGAATCACTGGATGTGAAAATCCTTGGATGCTTTCTGAATGAAACTTATGTTTGTTCCCTCCCCCTTTCTGCTGGAACATTATTATGAGACATTGGCTGCAGTCACACTGGAGGCTTGGTACGATCTGGTGGTGCCTCTATTTGCAGTGGTTTAAATTGTTGCTGGAAGGGGTGGCCAGACAGCACACCCTGAAGCAGCTCCTCCACTCCCTGCTCCCACGTTGAAGCATCCACGTTACTGACACCTCAACCACGGAGTGGGAGTGTGACCCTTGCTGGCAATGGGGGTCGCTCATACTCATATGTGCTTATGCGCACATCCCTACCAGGCAAACCCCCCCCACAACTGAGATGGAAGTGACCATTCACACTTCCCATCTGGCATCCACTCACAACAAGGAGGGTTCAGACCTCGGGAAAAGCAGAGTGGAAGCACTGGCATACATAAAGACGGGTCTTTCCCCATTGTCAGCAAACTCTGCTTCCAGGATGGGCTGGACCCAGGTGCCTACAACTGGGGCACGGAAGGCAGATGTTGTCTGATTGCACTCTTTAAATCTGCAAAGGTAACGCAACTATATCAGCATGAACTGCTCATGTGATCGCAGCCATTATCTGGGCAATAGTATAACAACACAGGGGGCAGCAATGAAATGACAATATACAGAACAGTTGCTGCAAAGTGCACACAATTGTAAGAATAATAGACAATGATTAAGCTATAATACAGATGAGCTTCATGATGTTTTAATCTTTGTTCTTAACAGCAAGGCACCATCAAACAAAGGATGATGACATCACGATGAATGGACAGGGACGAACTTCTCGAGTTACCGTTTGTTTCGAAGACTTTATCATACAGGTCTCAATTCTGTATCCATGTACAATAAAATCAACTGCTGGATATTCTTGAATTCAGACACCTTCTTCCAAAGCTCTTAGCTAACAAGTATAACCTTTCAATCGGACGAACAAATCCCCCCAAAACTAAAAGAGCATTCCCTGGCTTCAGCATGGGGGGAAGGGAGCGAGCGACTGGTGAGACCCAGCAGCGGTGGCGGCGGTGGCGGGGGAGGGAGACCGGCGAGGCCCGGTGG